CCCCAAAACCCCAAAACCCCAAAACCCCTTTTTACAAGGTTAATATTGAACAGTTGAAAATCTGCAAATATTACTTGACGACTCATGCAAGTTGACACCTACTTGTATTTAGATGGCTTAGTCAATCTCCTTTTGTGTGGCCCAAGCTGGCTTCTCTTAATATTAGGTAGAATCGAAGGCATTGTCTCTGTGGCAGTGCCATATTCATCATTAGTGGTATGATTTAGTAGATGTTTTGTGCTCTTTTTACTCTCAAAGCCAGCAAGAGGCTCAACTTCAGTTCCATAGAAAGAATTGTCTCCATTAGTCATCCTATTCATCAAATCAAGGTTCTTCTTGACACTAGTATTGTAGTCTGTTGAGGGAACATCAGCAATAGACAGATTAGTAGCCACTGCTGCCTCATTATTTACCATTTGTTGGTTTTGATCAGAGAAATTATTAGTTCTATGAGGAAATCATGCCTCATAAATCTTCAGAAGTGTTTTTTCATTATTAACAAACAAGTCTAGCAAGTTGCAACGGTCGCTGGGAGTAAATTCAGAGATCTTGATCTTATCTTTAGCAAGTTGAGCAAGCTTTAGAAGACTTTCTTCAAACTCTTTAGCTTCTTCTGTGTCTTGGTCAATAGGTTTGAATCTCTTTTTGCTCTGAATTTCAGTCTTTAATCTCCTTTTCATGATATCTCTTCGAACATCCTCAATGCAATCAACGAAGATAGTTTCGAGCTCATTCTTAGAAGTGGCCTCGTTTACTTTGACACTCTCTAGCTTTCAGATTTTACGTTTTTCAACATCAAGTTTGGCTCTCATTCCTTTGCAAACATTGTTGAACCTAGTCTCGACAGACTGCATGTAAAGTATAAGTTCTTTCTTCTTTCTTTTGTCATTATAATTTGAGTCAAATAAGGTATCCAAATAAGCCTCATACTTAATGTTCTGAGTTGGAATAAACCTGTAGTGTGAAATAGGGCTCTTAGAAGGCCTCCTAGTCACAGATTTAGACTTGTTATCACCCCAGTTGGAAATAATTGACTTCATAGCTCCCTGATCATCTTGTTTGATCAAACTTTGTGAATCAGAAGTATTCAGCAAATTGCTCTTTTCAAGAATTGAGAGTTGGTTAGCATCAAGATGCTCACTTTTTAGCATCTCTAGAATATCATCTGGCTTCATTTCAGTACCGTCCTGGGCTACATCAGTCATAAAAGTATTCCCATCTTTCTCTGCTTTATTTTCTAACTCATATTGAAGTCTTGTAATCGCTAATTTCAAAAGCTGGTTCTGCTTCTTTGTCTCTTTGAGTTGCTTTTGCAAAAACTTACAGTCCTCCTCAAAATTTTCAGCTTTAGATTTCCACTTGAGTGTTTCTTTTCTTTGCTTCTCCTTCATCTTCTCTAGATTCATCTGGTCATTCCTGATCCTCTGAATGGTTGTATTTAGCTCAATAATCTTCTGATCTTTAGTATTCTATAGCCTAAGAAATTTGATTTACAGTAGTAGAGTTTTTCTTATTAAGAGTATCAATCAGCTCTCTTAGTTCTTTTTCCTTCTTCTTTACGTATATATTATACCCTTTGAGGTACTCATATTCCTGCTTGGCCAGGACCCTGTTCAGTTTCACGTCTAGGTCACTAATAACTCCTGACAGTTGTGTATTGGTATCAAGTGCCTGCTTCCACTTCTCACTCTCTTGGTAATATTTGTCTTCAGGTTTGGCTCCTTCAGAGAATTGTTTATCAAGCATGCTATAGGCTTAGTCACACAAATGGGGATTCCGTCCTTACCTAGTAGGCGGGTCTGCTGAAATATTACCAAAATTTTCAATGTCCTCTTTGGATTCCATATGTGTTTAAAATATATTTAGACAATTATAAATTTTATTTTGGGGTTTTGGGGTTTTGGGGTTTTGGGGTTTTGGGGTTTTGGGGTTTTGGGG